CAAGGGATGGAGGAACAGGACACAGGGAATGGCTTCCCACTGCCAGAGGACAAGGATAGATGGGATATTGGGAAGGTGGTGAGGCCCTGGCCCAGGTTGCCCAGAGAAGCTGTGGCTGTCCCTGGATCCCTGGAAGTGTCCAAGGCCAGGTTGGACGGGGCTTGGAACAACCTGGGCTGGTGGAAGGTGTCCCTGCCCATGACAGGGGGTGGCACTGGATGGGCTTTAAGGTCTCTTCCAACACAAACCATTCCATGATTCTGTGATTCCATCACCACATCCATCCCTCTTTGGGAACTCACCTCCTGTGTATTTTCTGGAGGTGTTGGTGTCAGTGGGTGTCTCTGGGCTAGAGGAGTGAGCATGGAGCTCCTGGCCATCCTGGATGGCTTTGGGGGGACACTGAGGGCTCCCTCCTGTCCCTGCACAGTTCATTCCTTGGAGGGAGGGCTGGTTGAGGGTTAATCATGCCCATGGCTTTGGTGACCTCACTTGCTCACTCAAGGAGGGGGCTCTGGCAGGAGGGAGGGAACAGGCTCTAGCAGGTCTCTTCCTTGTCCCTGTGGTGTCTGGGACTTCCCTGTGCTGGTGTGAAGGGAGAAGTAGTGCTGAAAAGTGCCCTGTGCCACAGGCCATGGGCATGCTGGTCCTCAGGGGTCCAGGCTGGAATCCCCCACACTCAAAACCTGTGGGTGCCCTCAACCCTGTCCACACCCCCGTCGTGTTCCAAGGTGCTGCTGTGTCCTCTGGAGCCCAGGAGCTGCCTGGCTGTGACCCTTCAGTGCCCAGGAGGGTCACCCATCCCTGTGGGTCCCCAAGGGAATGGCTGGAGCTGTGTCAGGGCAGGCTCAGGTTGGATCTCAGGGAAAGGTTCTTCCCCCAGAGGGTGGTTGGCACTGAACAGGCTCCCCAGGGCAGTGGGCACAGCCCCAAGGCTGCCAGAGCTGCAGGAGGGTTTGGACAACGCTCTGAGAGACAGGATGGGATTTTGGGGTGTCTGTGCAGGACCAGGAGCTGGACTGATGATCCTGGTAGGTCCCTCCCGGTTCAGGACATTCCATGGTTCTGTGACCAGCTCTGGTGGGATGTGCAGGTGGATGTTCCACATTTCCCGTTCCTTTCTCTCCCGGGGTCTCCCCCAGCCCCAGTAACCTTTGCTGGACAGCAGGGCCAGCTGTGATCCCCATTCCCTCCCCTGGACACAGGTACCCCACGTTCATCGACGCCCTACGGGACCTGGACGATGCCCTGTCCATGTGCTTCCTGTTCTCCACCTTCCCCCGGACAGGGAAGTGCCATGTCCAGACCATCCAGCTGTGCCGGCGCCTGGCTGTGGAATTCCAGAACTACGTCATCGCCTCCCGCTCCCTGCGCAAGGTGGGCGTGGGGGAAGGAGGGGGACAGGCCCCCCTGCCCAGGGGCCATGGGGGTGGTGGGTTTGGGCACTGGGAGGGCACCAGGAGGCCACTGGGAGGGCACTGTCCCAGCTGCGCCAGGGCTGCCGTTGGGGTGTGTGTCCCGCCGGGATGTTTGATCCTGCCTGAGGAGGAAGCAACCAAGCCAAGGGAAGGGGGAGCGAGGACAGAGACATGGGAACCCCATGGCCTTCCTGCCCCTGAGCCCTCCCTCTGGTCCTGCCAGGTCTTCCTCTCCATCAAGGGCATCTACTACCAGGCAGAGGTGCTGGGCCAACCCGTCACATGGATCACCCCCTACGCCTTCGCCCACGACGTGAGTGCCTGGGAGGGGCACAGTGGGATCCTGTGCCCAGGGAGGGGCTGAGGGTCCATCCTGAGGCAGAGGAGGCAGTGCCCAGCCTGTGGTGAGCCCACAGGCCCCAGCTCAGGGGGCACATGGGGACACAGCCCTCTGTTACCCCCGGGGCTGCCTGTACCAGTCACCCCAGTTCCCCACGTCCTCAGTTATTAATACACACCTGTACCAGCCATTAAAGATTAACCTGCAGGAAAGAGGGAAGGGATGAGTCAGATCCTGCAGCCTTGACCAGGGAGGTTCTGCTGTGTCCTCACACAGCAGGACAAGGGGGGGCTGTGGGTGCCACCGTGCTGGGACAGCCATGTGCCCCCCTGAGCCTTGGCAGGCAGGAGATGACGGGCACAGCAGTGCCCTCTCCATTCACTCCCAGGATTTCCAGGGCTGGGCACAGTTGGGTTGCGGCTTTGTGGTTTTGAATCATAGAATCCTGGAGTGGTTTGGGCTGGAAGGGACCTTAAGGGTCATCTCATTCTACCCCTTGCCATGGCAGGGACACCTTCCACCAGCCCAGGTTGCTCCAAGCCCCGTCCAACCTGGCCTTGGACACTTCCAGGGATCCAGGGGCAGCCACAGCTTCTCTGGGCAACCTGGGCCAGGGCCTCCCCACCCTCACAGGGAATAATTCCCAATATCCCATCTAACCTTGTCCTCTGGCAGTGGGAAGTCACTCCTTGTTTCCTCATCCTCCTTGTCCTGCTCTTGTCTAGCTCTGCCACACCCTGCACTCCCCACTCTGAGCTGAAGTCCCTGGGCCAAGCCCCAAGGTCCCCATCCATGATGGGATGAGGTGCTCCCTGTGTCCAAGCAGGGAGGGGTGGCAGCAGGACCCTGATAGCAGCCTGGGGAGCAATCCCTGCCCAGGGTCTGGCTGTGACCTGACTTGTGAAGGGGGCAGGGTCGGGTGGGTTCTCAGGGAAAGGTTCTTCCCCCAGAGGGTGGTTGGCACTGAACAGGCTCCCCAGGGCAGTGGGCACAGCCCCAAGGCTGCCAGAGCTGCAGGAGGATTTGGATGATCCTCTGGGGCACAGGGGGTGACTCTTGGGGATGGGGCTGTGCAGGGCCAGGGGTTGGACTGGATGATCCTGGTGGGTCCCTTCCTAAACTGGGATATTCCATGACC